TTTCCCTTTAACCAAGCAGCACATGATTTTGTTAGCAGGCATTTATTAAACCAGAAGAGAGCAATTCTTGGATTACTGCTAAGAGAAAGTTCTTAAACAACACCTGAATCTTCTACCATAAATACTCAGGTTGTTGTGTATTTTGGTTTGGTTTTGTTTCACATAACTTCTCAGCCACTGGGTGGGCTGGGGAGGAAGCTGAGAGCTGTGCTGCTTACAACCAACCTGCTCAAGTGTCAGGAACAATTGTCTTTCAAAGTTACATCACAGCATAACTGTAAGTGCTGTTTGTCTCTATTGACATGTTATACAACCTAATTGCTAATTATTTCCCTTCCAGAGTGCATCTTGCCTACACCCTGAAAAGTAAAGTAAATGATAATGAAAAGAAAGCAATGCTTATGCATTCCAGACATGCAAAGGCTTTTCCTCTAATTTTTTTAAGACCTAAAGTGTGAGAATGGTGACAACTTCTCTTAGTAAATACGATACATGAATTAACACCAACAGGTTTGACACATATGTTCTTCAGGTAATCAATTCATTGTCCTTTTCAAGTATAGCTCCTTTGAGGAGCCATAACAACTACAGATGAGAGGTATGACAGAAATCAATGATTCACCTTCCTTCATCCTCTCCCAAACTGTAACTTATACAACTTGTTTCATTACAAACTCTGAAGTTTCAAGACTGGAAGTTCTCTTCACTGCTAATGACACTTATGGAATAATTAACCCCTTCCTGTGCACATTGTCCCAAATGTAATTTATATGTACATTTTCTTATGAGATTGCATGAAAACATGCATTTCACAGACACAACAGCAGAAGTATGGAAATGCAGAAGATACTGCTTTATAAAACTTGGCAATCGCTAAGACTTTTTCCTTCTTTGTATTCCTCACTATTATCCTGTCCAGGCTTGTACACACCTGCCTCTTGCTACCTGTTCTCCATTGCTCCACCTACAAGTAGTTCCAACTCAAGATGGGAGTGATGGCTGAGCAGTCAGGCTGAGGCTGTGCCCCCCGGCTCACACCCGCACCCGCAGGCCCTGTCCTGCCCCGAACCCCGCACACCTACCCCACGTTGGGCAGCCCCACGATCCCGATCTTCAGGGACGTCCCGAACCTTCCGATGATCGGGTGCGATTTCACCCCATCGCCTCCCTTCTTCGGGGGCATCTGCAAGCACAGAGCAGAGCACGATGAGCTCCCCGCGACGTCCCCTCGGCCCCGTCCGTCCCT